TAGTGCAAACATGCCATTTCAGAGGCCTGTGCAAGATGCCGGGGCGCCCTGTGTGGCGTCCCGCGGGAAGAAGGAGACAAAAACAAGCCGCGTGCGACAGCCTGTGAGAAGAGAGACACATTTGTTCAACAGCCTTCTCGGGCCTGAGATCGGCTCATCACAAGCAAATGCCACGCCTTAGCCTGGTTAAAGGGCGTTTTCACCTTCTGACAGCTGTATCTGTGCTCAGAGAATGGATACCACAGATGATGGTCAAGCTACAAGGCTTATATATCATTTTTCAACTTGGCCGTGTTTGAAGCATTCGACTGCAGCATGTTAGGCCACCACGCGGTGGTATTCACCGTTTTTGTGGTTACATCGAGAATAAGCCCGACTGTCGGGTGTTTTATGTGCTGGCTGATATCGAGTTTGCAGGCAATGGCACGGTTCGTGGTGCAATCGCCCGGCTCATGCCCTACATGAAGCATTATATAAACGCCATGGACAGAGACTGAGACAGAAGAGCAGCTTGAAGCCCCTAGCAGCCATATTAAAGACAATAAGCTATTGGACAAGGCACCGACACGACCTCAAAAGCTCGCAGCGTTGACAATGTGCACTTACATCATAATCTTATACCACTGCGGCTGCTATGGGTCCATCACCTGTCACACCTCCTGTTCCCAGATCATGGCCGAGATCCACCGCATCAACGATCCAGAGGCTTGGCAGGGCGAAGGGCTAGGCCAGCTGCCGTTTTACATGCCCGACGAGTGCGATCCATGGTGGCATAACACCATCCTGGTGCCGAGGGCGGCTTTTTGCGACCGATTTTGGGTCAATGACTGTCCGTCTGAGCAGAGGATGGACGAGTGGCCAGAGTACTATTGACAGCCGCAGAATCAAGAGTAACGATACTACGGATACATGATAAATGCTATCGAAGAGCTACAAAAGATCAAGCTTGCTAGAGCAAAACAAAGGGTGAGATGACTTGGTGGGGTTAACTTGCGGCTCTATTCTCCTCTTGGCGCGTTTTACGGAGCATGATTGCTGCTTGGAAGCGGTATTTGGTAATACGCCTTCGACTTACTAATATGAGTCTATGTAAGTGCTTTTGCTAGCCAAGACCCTTGAGACGTCAAGCGACTGACTTGTTTCAGTTGGCCAGGATGCTTTGAGCCTCCGCGTTAATCTATATGCGACGGCAAGGGGCTCATTTCACGACGCCATGCGGGATCCCAGATCTGAACGTCTTCCAATAACAATAAAGAGGAGCAATTTCGTTTCCATGTGCCGCGGCTATGCAGCCCACACGGTTTTTAGCTACGAATTAAGCATGGCTGAGAGTTTGAAACTGATGGACGGAGTTGAGTCGCCAAGCACTCGCATAGAAGGACTCCAGCGCATATGCAAGCCATCGGGAACTCGGCATACTGATGTGATGGTCTTACGGCGGCTCTTAAGCCACATCGACTCCTTTTGTCTTCATCAAGAACAACGAATGGTCATCGAAGCACTGACGTCTGGACCCCTCGGCGGCTAATCGCCAAGTGGCTTTTGAGGGCGTTTTAAACAATGGGCGCTAAAAGCCTCGGGCGACTAAGCAGGGCCATCTCCAGCGGAGGTTTAGTGGCGTTTGTGCTCCCCTAATCGCTACCACGGCTGGCTCCGGATTTACTGCTCGGCTCTACCACCCATGCGCTTCCAAAACACCTAAAACAGCAACCCCCTGTGTTCGTCTCGAATTGGTTCCGCCATGGTTGGCTAGAAGGCCGTGCTGAAACCGCTCGCGTAGGACGTTCCTGGTCGACGGCCTACTTAGTCGCTGAGCAGGCGTGCGGGGACGGGGCTGTTTGCTGCTTGTTTTGACAAAACGAAACGGGCTGCTCTGCGCCATCAGGAGACAAAAGACCGAGGCGGGAAATGAAGGGGACGAGATAGAACGAGCAGCTGGTCCCTGGCTCGGATCTAGCCGACAGGGGAAAATGGACGATTGCTTGCATTGCTCGCGGTTCGCGCCTCTTCGCTAGGGGCGTATATATACTGATGACGGGATGCCACGGTCTCGTGGGGGATTCTCTCAAGTTTCTGGTAGTTGCTCTGAATAGCTTCACTTTTTGCGTGCAGTGCTCGCTCCTTTCTTTCTTTTTTCCTTGCTTTCGCTCTTTTCAATTCGTGCCTTTGACGAGGTCATCTGCTGTGCAGATTTCATTTCCATTCCCTTTTTTGAAAACATCTTGTTTCTGTTTCTCTCTTTTCGCCGTTTTTAATCCACTCGGAACTCATTCTTTATTATACAACTACTCGTTACTGAGCCAGAAAGATGTATTCCAAGGCTACTCTCACTCTACTTGTTGCGGCTCTCGCAGCTGCCGGCCCCATCAGCCGCCGAGAGGTTGCGTCCCTCGACCCGGCCGCCACCGCCGAGGCCCATCAGCGAGACGCCACGGCCACCCGTGCCTTTTCCAACGTCCAGATCAAGACTTCGGACGGCAAATGTCTGAGCGTCGACCCTCTCTCCGGCGACTTCCGAGCCAACCTGACGCCCATCCAGATCACCGACTGTGGCAGCGCTCAGGGCCAGGGCTGGGACGTCATCACTTCCGGCGTTCACAACGACCAAAAGGGCGAGGCTCTGATTGTGAGCACGCTTACACAGGCCTGCTTTAACTTTGACCCGCGACGAGCAGTTGGAAACCAGGTTCTTCTCTTCTCGTGCGGTGGACGGGCTGATGGAGGCGGATCAGTCACCAACTCGCAGCTGTTTGCCTTTACTGGCGGCAATGGCCCTCTGAGCCTTACGCCTGAGAACGACGCCACCAAGTGCCTTGTCCCCAAGGGCAACTTGGTTGACATTGCCGACTGCAGTGCCAGCGATGCTACGCAAAAGTTCACCATTGGTGGCTCTGCCGGAGACTCTGGCAGCAGCAGCAACAACACCGCTTCTGCCGCTGCTACCTCTGCCGTTGCCACCTCAGCTGCGGCCGGCTCCACGGCTGCTGAGACTCAAGCCTCTGCTACTTCAGCTTCTGCCACTTCAGCCGCTGTGACGAGCGTCGCTGCTGTGACTGATGCCGCTGATGCCGCTGCCGCCACGACGCTGACCGTCCTCGCGACCTCGGTCCACACCGTCATCAGCTGTGCTCCCACCGTCACCAACTGCCCGGCTCGCTCCAACCAGACGGCCATCGCCAGCCTACCCGAGTCGGCCAAGACCACCGTCGTTGTCACCGACACCGTCGTCCTGGCCACCACCGTCTGCCCCGTTGCGCAGGCCTCCAGCATCTCCTCGTCTCTCCAGGCTGCCCACTCCTCCGGCCTAATCACCGGATCGACCATTACCGCCACTACCCCAGCTCAGGCTGCTGCCTCAACCACTGCCGCTGCCGCTGCCACAACTAGCGGTGCTGCCAGTGCTGCCACCGGCGCTGCTCCCGGAGGTGACGACAATGCTCAGTGCTCTGCTCCCAAGATCGTCACTGTCTCTGAGGTTGTTACTGTTACCGCCGGTCAGGAGTCAGCTTCCGCCACCGCTGCCGCTGTTACCAGTGCTGGCGTTGCCAACAATGCTGGTGTAGGTAGCTCTCAGACGACTGCTGCCGCCGTCTCTCAGCCCGCCATCACTGGAAACCCCACGACTCCCGTGCCTGTCTCTGGCGCTGGTGGCACTCTGAACCCCACTGCTGCTGCTGAAGCCAACCCCTTTGACACGACTGCGGAGCGACCCGTCCAGAGCGTCAACGTCCGAGCCGCCGATGGCCGATGCTTGTCTGTCAATCCCACGGCCGGTGATTTCCGCGAGAACCTCATTCCCATCGCGATGGTTGCCTGCAACCAGGAGGACCAGAGCCAGAAGTTCGACATTGTCACCAAGGGTGTTCACAACGACGGCACTGCTGGCGAGGCGCTGATTGTCAGCGTCCTTACCAACGGCTGCGTCAACTTTGACCCTCGACGAGCGGCAAATGACCAGGTGATTATGTTTGCTTGCGGTGGACGCGCTGACGGAAGTAAGTTTTGACAACTCATTTATTCATTTCTTCGAATAAGAAGCTAATCATATTTTAACCATAGGCGGCAAGACTACCACTTCGCAGCTGTTCCCCTTCAAGAACGGCGACACCAACATCATTCTCACTCCTGCCTCGGCCACCAACCAGACGTGCCTCATCGCTGGTGCTGACAGAGTGGAGGCCGCAAACTGCGACAACCAGAAGGACCAAGTCTTCCAGCTGGCGGAGATTGTGTAAGAGCACACATACTGTAGATAGTAGCATGGCGCTGAAGCAAGTTGTTTCATTAAATGCAGGGGATGGAATTTAAATTTTTGATGAGACGCTAAAAGGGGGTTTTATTCATTGTACTACTAGAGCTTGTCTTCTTCTTAAATATTCCGCCATTGTTGATCATGACGAGATATACATACCTATTCCACGATAACGATGTAAATATATTATCAAGCAAAAAAAAGGGCAGAGTCGTGCCGAGTCATCACAAGCCAATTGTAAAGATGAAGTCATGAATTTTGAGTCGCTATTGATCCACGCAACTGGGATCGTCGCCTTTAATAACGTCATGTATGCCCTAAGACAGATTGGCTTAGAGCCCGGCTTGGCTTTAGTCTAGGGGCTATCGCTTGTGAGCCACCAAAATCCAACCGACATACGATGCTAATAATACCTGGGGTTGGTCATCTTTGCTGATAAGATGGTGACACGGCACTAACTCGCGAAAATGTTGTGATTCTTATTCTTACAATCTCTTTTTTAATCTCTGATTTTTTTCCCTTCTGTGCTTGCGATTTGCGACTGCTGCTTTGTCCTTGAGCGCGCATAGACTGGATGGAACGAGACTCGTTTTGCAGGCCGAAGCGACGCAGTGACATTTCGATGCCACCATCCTTTGCGCTCCCCTGAAAGGCGCCAGCATTACCATATCATACACGGTAGCGACACTGATATAGATTAGAACGCGAGATAGAGCGCGATTTCTTTGATGCGACAAGTCTAGCCATCATGGTGTCTTCAACCTCTGTCCATTCGCCCACGATGGATTCCATCCAGGAAATCGGGCCCCCCATCGTCAGTCCTCCCACCGAGAGCCCGCCAGCCTTCAAACGAGTCTCGTACGGCCTCAACATCGACACCGAAAACACGTCGCCCTCGCCGTCGCCCGCCATCCGCCGCCTCTCGCGCTCAGACACGGCCGTCCACCGCGAGCCCTTTTCGCCGCTGCGCCGCCGACGAAGCACCCGCGCCGCGACCTTTAGGGCCATTGACGACACAGACGACTTCGACTTCGATGCCACGTACACGGAGCGGCCGGGATGGGAACCGGGCTCTGAGCCGGGGTTTGATCCTAATTTACCGGATGGAGGACATGCCTCGATGCCGCAGCTGAGCGCGGACTGCCAGATTACGGTGGTGGATTTTTCAAAGGATAGAATGGTTAAGAGACATTTTGATAATGAGTCGTTTATCACGTTTTTGACGCAGCCGAAGGAGAAGTGGGCCAAGTGTCGGTGGATTAATGTCAATGGCTTGAGTTGGGATGTGATTCAGGCGGTGGGAGCGCATAAAGGACTGCATAAGCTTGCGTTGGAGGATATCATGAATATCAGGAACAGGACCAAGGCTGATTGGTGAGTCTCAGAAAAGCTCTGAAGCCTAGAAAAAGAGGAAAAGAGATGCTAACAGGGAATTCTTGACAGGTATCCAAACCACGCCTTCATCATCATGACGCTCCAGAAGCTGGTCCATCTGGTGGACGACGACGACAGCTCCTCCGACTCGAGCAGCATACGATCAAGAAAGTCGGCCACCAAGGTCAAGAACTTCTTCCGCGGGTTCGGCAGCCGCAACGACGACAAGCTCGACAAGCTCAAGAACCCCAGCCCGCCTATTGATCCGGAGAAGCGCATCACTACAAAGTGCCTGACGGAACTATCAGAGAGCCTCGAGCTGCAGGAAACGTCCATGGTTCGCACTCTGCAGCGGTACCATGCCTCTGGCAACGAGACGCGCACCGACTACATGGAAGCAAACTCCATCCTTACGCCGCTCAACCTCGCCGTTTCTGCTGAACAAGTCTCCATCTTCCTCACGGCCGACAACACCGTCATCTCCTTTTTCGAGGTCTCCGCCGGTGATGTCGAGCGACCTATTGTCACGCGTCTGAGCAACCCGGGCACTATCCTCCGCGAGTCGTGCGACGCCTCGCTCGTTGTGCAGGCTATTATTGATGCTATTATCGACTTGGCTATTCCCCTGACGGCCGTGTACAATGACGTCTTGGGTGATTTGGAGCTCGACGTCTTGACCTCGCCCAGCATCAAGCAGTGCAAGAGCCTTTATATCTGCATCAGCGAGATTAACAAGATGCTGCGATTTCTCAATCCCATTGATAACCTCGTCAACGTCCTGCGCGATCACAAGACGAATTTCTCCCATGAAGAGGCCATCAAAGAGCTCGAGAACCCAGCGAGTGGTGTCATCGTCACGCCCATGACGCATACGTACTTGGGCGACGTGCTGGATCACTGCATCATCATCACTGAGGCGCTGCAGCAGTGCAAGCAGTCGAGCGAGAATTTGATCAATCTCATCTTCAACACCATCTCGGCGAACCAGAACGAGAGCATGAAGCAGCTGACGACTGTGACTATTATTTTCCTGCCGCTGACGTTTATTACTGGATATTTTGGGCAGAATTTCCCGGCGGAGAAGTTTCCGGATGTTGATCATGGGATATGGTACTTGTAAGTTTTCATGGACTCCCCCTTTTCACAGCATGAAAAGCTGACAAAGAACTGAAAAATAGCTGGGCGTGTGCGGTCCCGACGGCTCTTGCTACGATTCTCATCTTGATGCGTGAAATGATATCTTCTTGGTTTGTGCGTGTTGTGCAGCGGCAGCGGGTGAAGAGTAATCGCAGGAAGAGCAAGGCGAAGGCGAAGAGGAGGGCGAGGGGATGAGGCTGCTGTTATTTGAATAGAGTGCCCATGTTTTTGGGTCTGGGTTGGAAAAGAAAGGCGGATATCTATCTTGATGTAATGATGGCTGGCGGCAGAAGGAGATGGTTGAGATGTTGAGATACCCTTTGCAATTCTTGGCATCAGTGTACAACGTGATGCTTATTTAATATGGCTCAATTGATATATTAAGAAAAACCTCATATGATGTGTGTCTTTATCGCTTGAAGTTGTTCTAGTGTCATTTTATCTACAAAGCTTTAAAAACATGAGAAAATGAAGGGGCTCCAATGCGCTGCATGGCTCTCACCCGAAATGCCAAACATAAAGCTCTGAATCTGGAAATAAAAGAGCTAGCCTTACATAAGCTAGAATGTGGCTGATGCAGGCAGCAGCCGCGAGACCCACAATTGCCTGCAGCTCTAATTGCTTCACTGTAGCTGCTGAGGCCTGTATTCCATGTTATTTAAGCTTGATCGAGTCGCGACTTGTCTGCAGATTCGCATCTTTGCCTTTGCTCTTGTAATCTTGCTAGCTGTGATTTTCCGATTTCGCAGCTGATATACATACAATTGACACTCAAACATAGGCGACAATGAGCAAATGGAAAGCCGAAGAGCCAAAGACTCCAGATGAGGACGCTCTGAGAGAAGAAGACCTGCAGTATGGAACCACTGGCTTGACAGAAGAGGAATTGGCTGCAAAGTACGCTGTTGATCACATCATTTTTGAAGAACATGATTAACTCTCGTTTAGGTATCCTCACAAGCCCAAGAATCATTCCAAGACGCTGAGATTCTCAGAGCTCTTCAAGGACCTGTTCAATCCGCTAAATGAAAACAAGAAGCAGCCGCCAAGCGCTTCCGGCCCAGCCAGCAAAAAGGGTCCCCACGGACTGACCAAACTGTCGCCACAGGAACAGAGACGGCATATTGTTGAGCGGTTCATCACGAGATGGAGAAAAGAAGTTGGCGATGATTTTTATCCTGCTCTGCGTCTCATCCTGCCAGACAAGGATCGCGATCGCGGCGCCTATGGGCTGAAGGAGAATGCCATAGGCAAGCTCCTGGTGAAGCTGATGAAGATTGACAAAAACTCGGAAGATGGCTACAATCTTCTACACTGGAAGCTGCCTGGCCAAACCACAGGAGCACGTCTAGCTGGCGATTTTGCCGGTCGATGTTTTGAAGTCATCTCAAAACGCCCAATGCGCACCCAGGTGGGCAACATGACCGTTGCAGAAGTCAACCACGAGTTGGATAGACTGGCTGCGTCGGCTGGAGAAGCTGAGAATCTGCGCATCTTTGAGACTTTCTACAATCGCATGAATGCCGAGGAGCTTATGTGGCTCATTCGTATCATCCTGAAACAAATGAAAGTCGGTGCTACGGAAAAGACCTTCCTGTACTTATGGCACCCCGATGGTGAAACTCTCTTCAGTGTGTCTTCAAGTCTGAGGCGCGTATGCTGGGAACTCTACGATCCCGAATTCAGGCTTGAACAGGATGATGCTGGTATCGCGCCGATGCAGTGCCTCCAGCCGCAGCTTGCTCAATTCCAAATGCCAGCGTCGTTCCAAAAGATGATTGAACTCCTTCGACCCACGGAAGATGACCCTGAATTCTGGATAGAAGAAAAATTAGACGGCGAACGTATGCAGATGCACATGGTTGAGGATGCCGACCACCCTGGTGGACGAAGATTCTGCTTCTGGTCGAGAAAGGCCAAGGATTACACGTACCTATACGGTAATGGCCTGCTGGATGAAAACTCTAGCTTGACGAGGCATCTTAAAAATGCATTTGCATCTGGTGTGCGAAATCTGATTCTAGACGGCGAGATGATTACTTGGGACATGGCAGTGGACAAGATTGTCCCTTTTGGTACTCTGAAGACGGCCGCCCTTGCAGAGCAGAGCAACAAGTCCGAATCGAACGCAGCCGGCCACCGTCCCTTATTTCGAGTCTTTGACATACTGTATCTGAACGACAAGCAGCTTACACAGTACACTCTGCGCGACCGACGGAATGCTTTGAGCAAGGCAGTCAAGTCGGTACATCGACGGCTAGAAGTTCACGAGTATACACGCGCCACTTCAGCCGATGCTATTGAGCCGCTTCTAAGAGAAGTGGTCGCGAATGCATCAGAAGGCCTCGTATTAAAGAACCCTCGATCCATGTATCGCCTCAACAGCCGCAACGACGACTGGCTGAAGGTGAAGCCAGAATACATGTCCGAATTCGGCGAGTCTCTCGATTGTGTCATTATTGGTGGCTACTACGGCTCCGGAAAGCGAGGAGGATTCTTATCTAGCTTCCTGTGTGGTCTTCGTGTGACGCAGAACCATATTCAGGCTGGCGCCAACCCGGAAAAGTGCTTTAGCTTCTTCAAAGTCGGCGGTGGCTTTCGAACCGAGGATTATGCTGAGATACGGCATCGCACCGACGGCAAATGGATGGAGTGGGATCCTAAAAACCCGCCATCAGAGTACGTGGAGCTGGGTGGCGGCGATGCCAAGCAGTATGAACGACCCGATATGTGGATTCGACCGAAAGACTCTGTCGTTGTCTCTGTAAAAGCGGCCAGCGTTGGCCCTTCGGACCAGTTTGCTCGGGGCTTTACGCTGCGGTTCCCTCGATTTCGAAGACTACGGCTCGACCGCAGCTGGGACACGGCGTTGTCTCTAGAAGAGTTTCAAGAGCTTAAACAGAGAGTGGAGACCGAGTTGAAGCAAATGGAGATGACTGTGGAGGATCGCAGAAGGAAGAATCCAAAACGGATAAAGAAGGAGCTTGTCATTGCGGGCGATGATGCGGCGCCCCCTGAATTCGAAGGAGCAAAGTCAAAGCTGTTTGAAAGACTGGAGTTTTGCGTGCTATCCGAGTCGTTGAAGCCATATAAGAAGACAAAGGCGCAGTTGGAATCGATCATTAAAGAAAACGGGGGCTCCATCTCGCAAAGGGCTGCTGCGGGGACCAAGATGGTTCTCATAGGAGATAAGAAAGTGGTCAAGGTTGCCAGTCTCATGAAAGAGGGGGACGTTGATATTATTCGGCCTATATGGATCAAAGACTGCTTGGATCAGCCTAATGGAGGATTTTTACTGCCGTACGAGGAAAGACATTTGTTTCATGCCACGGATGGCTTGATCGACAGTGCTTCTCTGAATACAGATCCATTGGGCGACAGCTACGCCCGAGATACCTCTGTGGACGAGCTACGAGAGGTACTCCGAAACATGCCCAAGCTCGAGGACACAGAGTCATTTGATAAGACGCTGTTTTTGGATCAACTGGAACAGCACGGGAAAGACTTTACGACTTTGCGAAACTTCATGTTTTCCCAATGCAGAGTGCTGTTTTACCTCGCGGACGGGGCAATGGAGAGTGTAAAAGACAAGTGGGAGCGATTTATCCGGTACGGGGGCGGTTCGTGCAGCCAGGATCTGGAGGACCAGAGTGTTACGCATATTGTCGTGCTGGGGGATGATCCTATGGAGGTTGGGGATGTGGGGGACAAGTTGAGGCGGAGGCTTAGCGAGAGGAGGAGGATGCCTCGGTTGGTGAGGGCGCGGTGGGTGGAGGAGAGTTGGGGGGAGAGGACGGTGTTGGATGAGGAGAGGTATGTTGTATAATTGTATAACGACGCTTCTTTTGAAGTAATGGTAGTTTCTTGGGGTTGTATTTCTAGAAGAATAATGAGTTTATGGAATTTAATGGAAATTGCCCACGGGTTAAAAGGACGATAAAATTTATCATTTCGGATATACCGACAAGAACGTACTCTGGAATTTGTCTCTCTTAATCATTCTCTCTATAGTTTGATATCGGGAAGCGTCGTTTAATCTTGCTTTACGATATTATAAAGACATCTATTCGTCTGTATGAATGAGATATGGATGCTCGGAGCGACTGCGCCTTTGCGTATCTACACTCTTTGGAGAGCCCGAGATGTTATATTTCTACGCTGCGAGTCTCTTACAGTACCCAACATGTGAAGACATTCAGATTGCTTTCCTACTATTATCACGATATGTGAATATAAGTCAATATTTATCTTCTTCTTTATTCCCTTTCCAGGCAGGTTACCTTCTATACATACTGGTACGTAGAATTTGTGCTCAAAGTCTCTCATGCAGGCTTTCACGACCAGACCTCACAGAACTGCTGTGATTTTTGCAATGACAAAGATCCTCAAAGGTAGAAGAAATTGTGATAGTAGGTACCTCAGAAATCAGGAGCTTTTTGCAGGCTATAAATTCATGTTTGCTCCCACATTTCATTTCTTCAATCTTCCTCCATGCATAGATCAATCGCACACTTTCATCTACTTTGACCTTCCCATTCCACGTCCACAAATCTCATCGTCACATCTTGACAACATGTCTCGCTCCAGAATGAATCCTCTGAGCTATAGCGCCGAGGAAATCAACTACAGCTTCAACGAGATTGAAAATGAAGATCGCTCGAACGGCAACAATAATCACAAGGTAACATATGGCTAGCTCGCGTTACTGTCATACCTTTTCGTTGCTTACAAATGCTTTAATACTCAGCATGATATTGATCGTCTGAATCGTGCTGTGACTGCTCTTCAAGCAGAGGATAACATTGCTCGCCTGAATTGCGCTGTGGATGCTCTTGAAGCACAAGTCGACCAGCTATTCGACGAACGACGGCTGCTAGAAGACAAGTATGACAGACTCAAGAGAGGCAATCAGAGAAGAATATGGGAGATACTCAAGCTTCAAGAAGGTTTTATGTATGTCAAGGAGAAGTGCGACCAAATTCAGCAAGAGAATCTTTCGCTTGAAACAAAGAGCCTGATTTCCGAGTGGCTATCAACAAACTTCAAGCGACTGTCAGGCTTCATAGCTCATACAAGTTTTACGAGCAAGGCGTTTAGGAAGACTCCCTTTTCTGGCGTGGATAGAACTCTGGGATTAGGGTGAAACAAGGTCTATTAGCTATAGATGAAAGATGTTGATAGCCATTGCTATGGATCATTACAATACGAAGCTCACTTTGGAAGAGCCTTATCCATAGTCTTTAACATCATCTTTGCGCTGCGTATTTCTTTGAGGCAAGCAAGCAGAGCTGTTCAAATTCAGTTTCTTTACGCCCTTCCATATTTATCGCTATAACCTGACCACAAATCCTCTATTCTTCTCCACGTGTCTGGTGTCGTATTGTGATATCTGTCCATTTGCCATACTGGCCCAAGCTATTTGCCAATCGTCAAAAACAGACGGTCTCCAACATCGCCCAGACCAGGCTTAATCATGCCGCCATTCGTCAGCTCCTTGTCCACGCCTGCGATCCAAATCTCCGTACTCTCGGGCCACTCGGCAGCAGCCTTCTGAACACCCTCCTGAGCACCCAAGACTGACAAAACAATAACCTTTTTAGCGCCCCATTCACGCAGCGTTTGGATGGCGGCGGCGCATGTACCGCCAGTAGCGATGACGGGGTCGACGATGATGGCGACTCTGCCGCTGTCGGGGCCGGAGGGATGGTGGGGGAGGTTGTTGTAGTATTCGACGGGATCGAGTGTTGAGGGCTCGCGGTACATGCCGAGGTGGTGGACCGGTACTGAAGCAGGAAGCATGGTTTGTACGGCTGAGGATTGCTTGTTAGCTGAGAGTAGGTATAGCGAAGTATTTGGCGGGACTGACCTTCGACCATGCCGAGACCGGATCGCAGGATTGGAACGATGCAGATATTGCTCGGTTCAGCAACGACGGTTGTGTATTCGAAGCCCAGGGGAGTTTGGTCCTGTGCTCCGTGTTAGAGTGTAACTCGAAATAGTCGACGAGACTTGAGCTACCTTTGGACCGCTGGCTGGTTTTATGGCGGAGCTGACGGCCTCGCAGGAGAGGATTAATGCGATCTCGTGGACCAAGGACTTGACATCGCGCGGGCTGGCGCTTTTGGATCGCAGTTGGCTGAGCTTGGCCAGCAAGCTGGGATGCTGAGAGACGTGGACGTTTGAAGGGAGTTCGGCCATGGCGGACGGCGAGGCGGTTTATAGGTGAGAATGGAAGCTATAGGGAGCTGTTGGCGAATTCGAGATATAGGAGGTTGGGACGAAGCCAAAGGGAAGAAGAGAGGGAAAAGAGGAATAATGGGAAGCAAGAGGAGGAGAAGAAGCGGTCTTGATCGAGTATAAGAGGTTGTCTTGGGCTGGGCACAAATTACGTACGGCGTGAGATACGGACCCATGGGCATCTATCCGTATCAGTGACATTCGGGACTTGGAGCGCTTGGAGGCGGGGGAGGGGTCGGCTAGCGGCCTGGTGTAGCGCAGAGTTAGCGGATGGGGCGCTGTAATGGCAGCGGTGGAGCGCCCGTGCCTTGGGGCAGTCGGGAATCGGAGAGGGCCGCCAGTGGGGGCTTTTGGGCTTGGGCTGCGATAAGACCAAGGCAGAAATGGGTGTAAGTTGATGCTGATGAGGGACTATTCATGCGGTTTGGATAAGAGAAATTAATGCTAGAAGATTGAATTTTTACAGCTGGCATTTCATTTTCAGCTGTTACTTACTTATTGGAAAATTAGAAATGTATACACAGGCATGCCGTATTCATCATATTTAGACCGACACTGACCGAAATCAACAGCGGCTGATTCTCGGCAAGATGGTCAGTTCTCCATATTGACTCTCAACGAGCTGCATTCCAGCATCAAACCTCCATCTCCAGCACAACTTTCTATACGTCATGATGTGTGACTCCAACACCGTCTACCTTCCAGGTTGAAAATCCAGCGAGAGCGAGACCATGTCCTCTCACAACACAGAAGCCGCGCCGCGGCGACAATCCAGCGCTGCAAGCTACAATGCGCCAGGCGCGTATCAAAGCCTAGACGATGGCGCTGCTGGACTCCCCATTGGCGTTGAAAAGGGCCATTCAGCGACTGCAATTGCACCCAAGACGTCGCGGACAGGAGATGGCGACAATCGGCAGGCGTCTGCCGCGGAGGCAAAAGACTACGACATTCCAGACGACTGGGCGAATCTCGACGAAGTAGCGGCCACAAGCCCTGTGGAAAACGTCGATGAAGCCCCTGTGTACCGCCACCACAGCTTGGAACGTATACGAAGCCGTGACATTGAAGAGCGCCAAGTGCGACGGGCCAGTGGCGCCCAACGGGAACGTGATGGCTCGGCGCAACTGGCTGATGTGGAAGTGGTCGATGACAAGAGCGAGCAGCACGTGTCGAGGCTGGCCACGCAGATCTATACGATATCATACCTCGTTCTGTTTGCCATTTGGGGCACTCTTGCGCGTGTGGGACTCAGCGCATTGACTACGTATCCTGGAGAACCGGTTCTGTTCGTGGTACTATGGGCCAATTTCGGCGGCAGTCTCATCATGGGCTTTCTGTCCGAAGATCGGATGCTGTTCCGCGACGAATGGGGGACGCCCACTTACGATAAACTGCTTGCGCGCGCAAAAGAGACTGGGAATGGAGAGGGGAGTTCAGACCAGGAAGAGCAGGCCATTGACTTGCTGGCCGCTAAGAAGGCGCATTTGGCAACGAAAAAGACTATACCGCTGTATATTGGCCTGGCTACTGGATTCTGCGGAAGCTTCACCAGTTTTTCGAGCTTCATCAAGGACATCTTCCTCGCTTTGTCGAATCAGATGGTGACACCTGAGCTGGGAATTCCGGGCAGGAATGGAGGATACTCGTTCATGGCCCTCTTGGCGGTGGTGATTGTGACGGTGTCACTCTCGCTCTCGGGATTGATACTGGGAGCTCATCTGGCCATCGCTCTAGAGAGATTCACGCCATCCATTCCTTATCCTGTGACTCGCAAGATTCTCGACCCCCTCGCTGTTCTGCTGGGCTGGGGGTGCTGGCTCGGCGCGATCCTCATGGCAATCTTCCCACCGCACAACAAGTGGCGCGGCGAAATCTTGTTTGCGCTGGTCTTTGCGCCCTTGGGATGCCTCGGCCGATTTTACCTTTCCATCTACCTCAATGGAAAGATTGCGTCGTTTCCCCTGGGAACTTTCACGGCAAACATCTTTGGAACTGCGATTTTGGGCATGTCGTGGGATATTGCGCACGCGCGCATTGGAGGGCTTGCTGGATGCCAGGTGCTTCAGGGCATTGAGGATGGATTCTGTGGATGCCTGACCACCATTTCGACGTGGGTTGCGGAGCTGAATAGTCTTGGGCGACGGCACTCGTATATATACGGGTTTAGCAGCGTGGGAACTGCTTTGGCGGTGATGATTGCCATTATGGGAGGGCTACGATGGAGTGATGGCTTCAGTGCTTTGATATGCGTCTCGTGACGGGTGTTGACACGACGAAGAGGATTGTGAAGAGGATTGATACCCTGTTCTCTGCTAGTTGAGGACTTAATTTAGATATAGACTATTCGCACATGGGATGAGCTTGGTTTGTGTATATGATACCAAGCAAACTGGAGTTGAGGATTTGGAGACTTTTAATCTTAATTGCTATATGCTGGCTGTGCTTTCTAACGCACGCTGAAGTCTCAGACAACTAGGTATTTCATCATAATGTTTTCTGCCGGTGGACATTTCGCATTCTCGACCTTGTTTGTAAAACCGTGTATAAAGACATGAGGCCGGAGCTGCTTGACAGAAGTACATGTATTCGAGAAATCTTTGGAGAACCTTGAACCCCGTCGGTATTAAGTGCCGTTTTCTGTTATTGAGCGCTTCAGAACACTCCCGCCGTCGCCAGCCATGGAAGCTGCGTTCTTGGCCCTCATTGGTACTTTTTATTGGCAAGCTCACTGCGCCATCCATTGTTTACTCCCTCTGGTGCTTGACGCTTGGCGCTTGAAGCTTTGCAACTTGTTACCGCCATCGACAAATTTTCTATTTCTTTAATCTCTAGTCCCCAGTCACAAACACTTCCAATACCTGTCCGAATCATCAAACGCCAGATCTCACCTCATCATGACCGGCCCTCGTGTTCCATCAGTCGAAGAGGAAGGCGAAAGCAGTGCAGGGGCAACGGTCGGATCTACACAAAGGGATCGAGAAGAAGAAACAGCACAGGAACACGCGCCAGAAATTTCAATCGAAGAACGGCGAGCAAAATTCGGTTTGCGATGTGCCGCTCAGATTTCGGAGGGACAGTGCTCAAACCCAGCGGTTATTCCGTGCCAGATATGCCAGCTTGTCGCAGTAAGTGATCAACAGTGACCTTGATGCTATTCTACGCTTCTTGGCCTTTTTTTTCTTTTTGCTACTCGCTGGATTCGGCCGCGCTGACTTTTCAAAATACAGTACTGCACCGAAGAATGCATGAAGAGAGACGCAGAATATCATTCTCGCGAGTGTCCTCCACCAACTGAGCCCCCGTCACGCTCCGAGCCGACAAGCGAAATCCCAGATGACCCTGTGAAAGATATGGGCGTCTTTTGGGCCAACTATGCTGCGACCGACATTTTGAATTTGGCGGCAAACGAGGGAGCAGAGTACAACGGCCTTTTGCGTGTTCTTCTCACTGGCAGTGAGTGAATTTCGATCAGATTGAAGAATGCCATTAGAGGAGAGTCATTTAACATGGGTCGGTAGCTTTTGGCCTCCGGCATCTCATTTACTCTGTTGTCGCCCTACCAGAAACTACTTCTCCGTTGCTCCATGTAACAATATCCGAGATGGAGCTGCCGCATCTTTATAGGACTCTTCTTTCGCTACTAATTCTGCGCAAGGGCATAGAGATTAACATGGATCCGTACGAGGTCGCAGACTTGGTTACACATGTGTGGTATTCGTACAAATGGCCCTCTCATGTCATGGACTTTATCAAGAACCAATTAGCAGCGGATTTCCAACCATTCACCGGCGAAGAAGAGGTATATGTGCTGTCGCCTGGAGAAGATCCATGCCGCATATATCCTTACGATTCTGACAAAATGCCCTTGGTTATTGGCTTCAGTTTGCCATATTGGGAGGCAATCACAACCTACTTGAAGGAGACCATCGATCAGCAGCCCATCCATCGAGACAGAGAACAGGACGTCAATGCATACGGCGAGCCCTTGGAAAACGCTTTTGCACGAATGTCGCCGTCTCGAGTGGCAGGGTTGGTGAAATGGCGGCAAACTGGCTTGATGTTGGCTTACGGTGACTCTGCGCTGCCCCATGTCTATTTGAATCCGTAAGTCAATAAAAGTCAATCTTGACAGAAACAAAGGCGAAAAAGGCAAGATAACAGTTCGTCGTCATATCTATAGGATGTTCTTCTGCGATAAACCAAAGCATGGTAGACCGGATGGCTTCACTCATGAGCCACTTTCTGAATGGCCGATGAATGAAATTTTGGACTACACCCCGTATGCCGCCGAAGCCGATGTATACGGAAAAATGGTGGCCTATGTCCGCGAAATGCTGGTGAAATTCCAACTGCGAGTGAAGAAGAAAGGGATCTTGATAAAACTCTCAAACGCCGGCACAGTGAAGATGACGGGACAATTCAAAGACTGTTTTGTGCAATACCCAAAATTTGATCGGATAGAGGTAAATGCATAAAACACATGGAAGACCTACTGCAGTATTGATCTTGTCTAGGCTGGGCACCTCTTCGATATCAGCCCCCCGTTGTGTTTCTTGTCCTTCTCCCCTTTGCTTCGGCACCAAGACGAGAACCCCTTCGCTACCTTGTTAATCATGACACGGGAAAGCTTTACTAATTCAGAGACTCCGCGCGCCAAAGAATTAAAAGCTGCTGAAAAGAACAAGTTGTTTCAGCCCGTGTCTCAGTCCCTAGACTCAATAGCACCGCCGGTGCAGTCTACTGATAACAAGTACAGTGCCGCCTGTGTGCATCGGCATTTTGCTCTTCAAGTATTTGACCGGGAGTGGGACATGTTTTCCGATCGGTAAGTACCTCGTGCGAATGTTGATTTTGTTGTTGTTCACTAACCACATGTATGTATGCGTGTAAACAAAGCTATTTGACTGATCCACTCATTTTCAATTTCAACATGCTGGAAGCAGAGGATCTGCATCGCAGCATCTTTCAAACAGGCTGGCTGGGTTTAGAGTTCAAAAAGAAAAATACAGTCAAGCCGCGGTGGCAGAACCGATTGATGCCGAGGACCGGCAAGATCTTAACGGAAGAAGACGCCACTAACTTGAGACGCTGGATGAGCTGGTCAACCACAAAGCCAGAACGTTGGCTGGAGTGGAAAAAGATTGGAGATGTCTCTTGGGCTAAATGGTATATGTACGGTTATTACATTCCATTTCCACACTGGAGAGACTACTCGGCTAGGGACTTGGAATTCCTGTATGGATTTGTGACAGAGCAAAGCGAATTCTTGGGTGCTGAAAACGAGTATGAGAATTGTGATTGTGGAGACTGGAAGCGCCTCAACAGGTGTGAACATGAGCATAAACAAGGGCCTGCCACATCGGCCGAACAGGAGCCAGCCGTACCAAGTGAAGAGGATGATAGCTGGATGAAGATGGATTCTGGGGAGGATTCTGCGGCTGGCGGCGCGACTGAGAAGTCGAAGCAGAAGAAGAAGAAGAAGAAGAAGAAGAAACAGAAGAAGAGAGCTGGCAAGAAATAGCGGCAAAAGTGAAGATACAGTGGCTGACGATGAGACAGAGACATTTATTATTTTGGTATCGAGATGGGTTACTGCAAACGAATGAACAAGGCAGTTTCGTGATGATGGATAAGCTAGGATGTCGGGAAACGGGCGTGAACTATGTACCGTTTGGAAACATGGATAGGCTTGCTTATGGCTGATTAACGTTACTTTCATAATACTGAATGGCGGAAGTGTTAGCTTGAAAAGAATTCGCTGCTTGGTCTGCCTGTTATCGTGAATTGTGTGGAGCGGATGTATGTGAATGTGAATGGGAATGTGAATGGGAATGTGAATGTGAATGTGAATGTGAATGTGAATGTGAACGTTGGCTCGGCGTTGGGTGGGATGAGTCAATTTGAGCGCGGCGATAGATTGTAGGATGACTAAGACTAGGGAGGTGTTTAATAATGTGGAATAGGAACTCGTATGGTTGTGGGTCATGGACTGAATGATTCCATTGTCTAGACTTGTAGTCTCGGCTTGCGTGTGTGTATTGTAGCAACTGTATTCATGTACGCTCTAGTCTAGCGTTCAGGACGTTATTTCTCATAGCCTGCTCAATCGGATTTTGTGTTTATTCAGCTGGAGTTACTATCTCCGAAGATGATGCTTGCAAAAAATGTGGAGAGATGTTTGCTCGTGCATTGTGCGGGCAGCGTAGGATTCAGGATGGCCAAGGTAGGCTTTTCTATTTTTCGTCTGACGTCAAACACGACCGCGCTGTGTTGTGTGTTGTGTTGGAAATTGTATATATCTGACGTTGGCTGCCCCGCTCGAATAAGACTGGGCGGATTAGAGTTAACAACTCTGACAATCGAAGGCTACACTACTCAACGAAGACAACCTTTACATCGTTCAATAAAGACAACTTTTTGAAAACATTGAAAATGGGTGAACCGGAGGCTAAGCGCGCCAAGACGGAGCCAGAGTACGAGCTCACCTACTGGCCTGGCATTCCTGGCCGCGGCGAGGTTGTCCGGCTGCTCTTCGAAGAGACGGGCACGCCGTACATTGACGTGGCAAAGAGCAAAAAGGCAGTCGATGCAGTGTGCGCGTACTCTGACCTGAAGAATGTCGGAGACGCCAAGAACCCGCCCAAGTTTGCGCCGCCTGTGCTGAAGCACGGAGAGCTGGTGATTAACCAGCTGCCCAACATTCTGCTGTACCTGGCGCCGAGGCTGGGGCTGGGCCCATCCAGCGGGGACGGCGTGTACCACCTCAATGAGATTGCGCTGACGATCCTGGATGGGTTTCTGAACGAGGTGCATGAGACGCATCATCCGGTGGGGACGGCGGCATATTACGAGGATCAGAAGGACGAGGCGAAGACGAGAAGCAAGGCGTTTCGGGAGGAGAGGCTGCCAAAGTATTTGAAGTATGTGCAGAGGGTGTTGGATGGGGAGAGGAGTGGGGAGGGGGGGTGGTTGTATGGGGGGGAGTTGACGTATGTTGATTTGGTGCTTTTTCAGGTGAGCCTTGCTGTGATCTGGTTGTTTTTTTTTTTTTTTTTTTTTTTTTTTTTTTTTTTTTTTTTTTTTTTTTTGTTTTTTTTTTTTTTTTTTTTTTTTTTTTTTTTTTTTTTTTTTTTTTTTTTTTTTTTTTTTTTTTTTTTTGATGTGGTGGCTAATACTAGGGGGATTACAGTGCCTTGATGGAACAAAGTATGCGTTCCCGAAGACGGTGGAGAAGTTGAAGAAGGGGGGAAAGTATGCTGGTGTGTTTAAGCTGTATGATGCGGTGAAGGAGAGGCCGAATGTCAAGGCGTATCTAGAGAGTGATAGGAGGGTGGATTATGCGAATGGTATCTGGCGGCATTATCCTGAGTTGGAGGAGGATGAGTGATGCGCTTTGCCGTTGAATGGAGAGAAGTGGAAGAGGATGGAAGAGATTCTTGAAGGTTTGTTGGGGGAGATGATTTTATTTGTCGGCTTGATGCATTGAGTTGTTGCATCGGAGTGAGTTGGTGACGTTTGATAAGAAGAGCTCGGATAATGACTTTAAAGCAAGTGAATATGATAGTTAGATGGAGAATGACATTTTTTCGTCGGTTTTGTGTCTCCTATACACGTCATCTACTTGGGCCTAGACTTGACGGATGCTTGGGTGGTTGACCAGTGTTGATGTTGGTGTTGCACGAGGCGAGGCCTCCGGCGGATAGTTGCTTCAAGTTTGTAGCTATCCAGTTGAGGCGGTCAGAGAGCAGAAGGAAAGAGGGAGAGAGTGAACCATATTTGTTGGTATTAGCGATAATATATATAAGCTCGTAAATTGCGAGTGTCGAATTGCGAATACTTAAAGGATGTTGCTGTCCCAGGAATAAAGCTTTTCACTTTGCTTCTTCCCCATCTTACAGTTTTATGGACTCTTACAGAATTATGGATTGTTACGGATAGGATGACGCTTCTCACTTATAGTTGGTGGGCGGCACTCCCTCTACCAAGCAGAGAAACTAGGCGATCGAAATGTCGTACACGAAGAAAGACGCATTGGGCTGGTAAGTCGCTGCAAAACTATTCCTTCTCCAACGGGCTTTTACAAGAGAGATCAAGCCCACTCTTTCTGTCTCGTGCTGATGCTTCAATCTGGTTACCGAAGATACCCATAGATATTAACACGGACAGCAGGGGGCTATTACGGAACTGAACCTCTACGTTTCATGCAGTCCCCCCGACGCTGATGAATGAGTGCGGCTATCACTTTAAATTCGATATCATCTGGGGCCCAATTCACAAGTGCAGAAACTGCAACGCAATGTTCATTGCGACCTAGGGTGGGCGGGATAACCACTAGAAGGATAAGAGACACTGAACGTCTCGCACTACAAGTATGCGACGCTTTTCTTTCCCTGGTTCGTATCGCGAGCCAAACGCTGACTACATGTACCATCACCACCCAGAGAGAAAGAACCGTAGGCCGTGACGAAGAGTGCACATTGAGTCGGGCGAGCCAGTAAGTAAAATTTATGTTTGCTCTTCTTCTTACATGGAGTGATAAAAAGTTGGGGCTGAGAAGGACAAAAGATGATCACTAATGACAACTATTGTTGTTCTTTAGATTTAACGAAACTCAAATCCATAGCTCAAAAGCGAAGGTCTCAACAAAAGGGAAATAATCCGAGATCGAGCGACTCAACTGAAACCGAATACAACTTTATGCGTTGCTACAATAAAGTAGCAGAATATCGAAAGGCCGCCGACGCTGTACACTTTGCCGTTGGCGTACCACATTCATCACTTCAGCTATTTGCCTTATCCACGAGGGGCGCCGATGCTCTAAGTCCCAAAGAAGCACACTGTTCTCCGAACCTCAGACAAGAATGCGCAGGCCAAGCTGTGTCTGGCCAACTGGAAAAGGCTTCAAGCACATCATGGCGTTCAAGTTTGATACAGATAGCTGTGCTAAACAAGCATCTACCATGCCTCAAACAAGATACCCGCCTTTCTATCTCTCAATCCACAAAGAGGACACATTTCCAGAGAGACAAATAGCCATAAGAACGTATCACAATTTAAGTGAGAAGACACTTGAAATTTACAGACACAGTTTGTGAGTGAACCCAAGGCGCCGTTTCACCAAACATGTTTCCGCCGCTTTTAGCAAAAGGTCTAGGAAAGGGGCCATGTTGCACTATTGACTGACCTATGGGCAGTTTATGATCCTTTTCTCATGATTCTAGCCTTCACAGGTTACTATGCGGTCGTATGCGCTTGATCCAGTCTCCAAGGCGCAAAGGTACCAGGAGACACGGACATGCAAGCCGCCTGCAAAAGAGTCGACATCTCGCCGTGTCTCTCAAATGAGGCTGTACCCAAAGCATCCCAAAACTCGGCCCTTCAAGGCCCACCAAGCTGCAAGTAAGTGTTATCTAGCGCTTCATTACACTGCGCCTCTTGCAAACCCTTTTCGCAAGAGGTGCAGTGAAATGCGGCCTTGCGGCCTTGCGACCCCCTCTTTGTGCTTGGACCACTATCGAGGAGAGGCAAATGCCAACTCGGCTACATAGATCTGGTCATCTTTGCTGAGGAGATGAAGGAAGTTGAGGCACTGAGGTGCAGGAAGCACCATGGTAGAACGGACCGACGAGATCTTGGAGCGCACAAACAGCCCAGAAGCTAGGATGAGGTCTTCCCGCCGATCTGATGCGATCGCAAGATTGATGGGAGCCAAACCTTTGGATGAGGATCAAATCTCGACAGTCCGAGTCAGGAGGAGAAAGACATGGCATTGCAAGTCATGGAACTCATGTACACGAAGATGCATACGTCCTCCACCTAATACCAATCGCTGAGCCAAGGGGCTCGGCTGCAGCTTTGCCGATCATCGAACAATCAGAATACTGGACTTTCTCATACTGATTGTCAATCCGGTGAAACAGAGAGCAATGAGGAGTTGAAAACGAATATAATGAGTTTGAAGGCACACAAAAAAAAACTTTTGGAATAAGGCTGTGGCTATCAGTACAACCAAGACAAGAGCCAAGAGGTAGAGCGTATATGCGGAAGCACATCGTACCGACTAAGTGTGCTAGGGGGTGCCGCAACGCTTGTTACTCCTTTGACCGGATTGTTGAACCCCAATAAGTCGTTCGCCAACAAGGAGACTATCAAGCGCTCTTTCGCCAAGCCTTAGAGTCACTTGACGGCTGACGCTTGCTCTCAGCTCGAGTGCAGGTAATCCTCCCTTTACCAGACATAACCACCTTTGATGATGCTATTCGAATCTATCCCATGAACGCACAGGTGCGAGAATACAACCTGGAGCATATGGAGCGTTTGCGAAGGCCCTGCGTACGGGTTATTGCCTTAAACAGCGCATCCATCGGCAGATAGCAGCCGGTACCACTATGACGACTACCTAAAGGAGTTCCGAAGGCAAGAGACCAATCATGCATTGCCACATTGACCACATGTTGGCCAAAGGACACAAGGCTTGGCAAAGAACTTGACAGCGCGATGCATCTGTTTCGGTCAAGCATCAGATTGGGCGATCGGGGGAATAATGCGATACAGATTTACAGATCTGTCACCAGTCATATCAACTCTGCAACAAGAACACAAACTCGAGAAGAAGGCTCTTGGATGGAAGTCTCCCACGCCGCCTCGCTGAGCAGAAGAAACTATCGAGAAACAAACATCAAGTTATCCCGACCTCGACAAACACAGCTTCGCCCAAATTGCGATAACAAACAATCTCAATGCATGGGCCAGCGTACAGGACGAAATAATGCAAATTATCGACCCAAGGATCACGAATTTGAAGAAGTCATGGCAAGTCTCCGATGATTCAAAAAGGCAAGCAAAATCTCTACGAGACCAATATAACAAACAATGTCATGTGCAGCCACACGGGAATGAGATATTGGGAATGGGTAATGGTGGAACGAAGCAATGAAAATAGGCAATAATGTAATGGAAAGGATGAGATTCTTCCGTCCTTAATAGGCATCTGTTCATGCAGCTAGCTTGTAGATGCATTACTATTAGTATCGCCTACAAGGTAATCACATACAATGATGGATTGTCAACTAGGTACGATGGGAGCTACGTGTGCTTTTTATGTTACATATGGCGTCGCCTCTAGGCAGCCGCTCACTCAATTAAATAGCCCGTTAAATCCTTTGGACAAAGTAGCTCAGCCCTTGGCCAAGCGTGTGGTGCTAATTGGCCATTTGAATACCCTGCGTGAGGCGGCCTGATCATTGCTACCAAGCAATAGCGCTTCAGTAAGGGAGACTTTGATGTAACTCAGCCCAGCCCAACACGAATCAGATCGGCACTGAACGGCTAATAAATAACGCCGATAGCAATCCGCCTCACTGCAGCGCACCTGAGACAGCCAGCTGGAGATATAAGATGCTGAGAGAAAATTCATGCTGGGCAACCTATAATGAATGTTATGCTTTCGTAATCATCGCCATCATTATGCTCAAAAGCCTTCACAATGACGACTCCAACGTCTACAACAGTGATGGGAGCAGCAGATCGGTTTCGCCTCTTGGTAGAATCGCTGCCAGACGAAGAGCGACAGCTTTTTGAGTCATGCAACAATGCAGATAAGCTGTTCGAAAATATTAGAAACTTGGAGAGCAAAAACCTCAACAAGGGCAAGGACCGGCGGCGCTACATGGAGCTCACCAAGACATTTATCGAAGCCGTACAGCCCATGTTCAAAGTCTTGGACACGTTTAATTTGGTCGATCCAATGCATGTTGCATCAATATGGGGAGGAGTGCGGGTTGTACTCCAGGTGGTTACAGGATGGCCTCTAAATCTGCGCAGATGCTGACGCTGTTCTAGGTCACGATGAATTTTGTCAGCTTCTACAGCAAAATAGCCACGTCGCTGCGTGAAATATCCACCATGGTCCTTTTCTTCAAGCAAGTCAAGGTAAATAACTTAGTGTTGGGGTCAGAAACCCTCAAATCTCTTCTAGAGAACATCTTTGCCGAGATTCTCGATTTCCTGGCTGGCATAGTTGGGTTGTTTTACACAGGCCAGGGCAGTGCGTCTCCATTCAACTCTCTTTAGTTTCTCGTATTCTCTATGTACTGATAAATTGATAGAAGCGAAAAGCCGAGTTCGCATATATGGCGGCGCAGCTCTCAAACCCTTTCGCTACGGCCAAGTTTTGGTCCAGCTGAAGGAGTACAGGTCTGCAATAACTTCGGAGCTCATTCGCATCCAAGCGCTCGAGATACATAGTTTTAGTCTCTCCGGGACGCAAATACAGCAAAGATTTGAGAAGGAAAGCAATGGTATGTATATGAGATTTGCGCACTCAACGTTCTTGTCTAATCGAGTACGCAGAAGCCATGTTGCAGAGGTTCAAGCAGTGGCTTGCTCCAACCACTTATACTTCTCGGTATGAAGATGCACAAAGTCTGCGCACGCCTAGCACTTCTCAGTGGATCTTCGACGATCCAGCTTACCAAAAATGGCTATCTATACACGATAGCTCAGCTTTACTTTGGATTCATGGTAGGTTTCTTTACTTATTTCTCACGACTAAGCACACTGCAACTCACTAGACTATTGCTAGGAAAACCTGGTGCTGGGAAAACAATCTTAGCAGCCACTCTTGTCGAGCATCTCAAAGATGTGGATGCAAACCCATTTTACTTCTTCTTCGACTCTCTTCAATCATCGTCCAAAGCAAGCGTGGATGCATACGTTGCGATCCTTTTGCAAATTCTTCACAAGAATCCATCGAACTCGCAGATTTTGGATCTCATCAACTTCACAATACTCTTTGCCACAGATGGCCAGCCTACAGCAACAATCAAAGAAGCGGCCGATCTTCTTCAGCTCTGTCTTCAACTCACTGAGTTTGAGGGTATGACGCTAGTTTTGGACGGACTTGATGAATGTGCAGACGCGTCAAAAGAATTGATGCCCCTTATAAAAAGGATTAGCTCACAGAGCAAAATCCGTCTAATATTACTGGGCCGCTCAACCGTACGTGGCTACCTCAAAGGCATAGCTGTCGAAGATTTATCAATTGGCGACTCGAATTTTCACGATATTCAGGCTTATCTTAAAGATGAACTCGAGGCTTGTATCAATGATGAGTTACTGCCTGAAGAGCTCGATATTGAAGCAACGGCAGAAAAGCTGAGTCGCCGAGCGGATGGAATGTTTCTATGGGCACGCCTGATGATGACGTACTTGGCCTTGCCTAGTTTGCTCATGTCCGAGAGGATAGAGGCCATCCGAGAAATAGATATGCCAGAAGGCCTTGACATTATGTATGAGCGGATTCTGGTGCAGATATACAAGGGAAGCGGAACATCCTTTAAGCTTGCAGCTCACGTATTTACATGCCTCCTTTACGGCAATCGTGAGCTGGAGGAAAGAGAGTTGGAAGACTCCGTCGTCTCGCGCAAACGAGGCGGCATCGACGAGCAATCTAGAAGTTTTTCCAACTTTGTAGATACGATATTGTTAGTTTGCGGCGGTTTCGTGGAGAGGTCACAGCAAGGCAGCTTCCGCTTCATCCACGCTTCCGTCCACGATTACTTCAAGGAAGAGCCTCAGAGAAGACTGACAGGGCGCAGTCAGTTCCAAGATCCGATTCTCGTATCGACTCGTGTGGCGGGCAACTTACGTTTAGCGACGCACTGCCTCGAGTACATCAACTATGCTCTACCTAAAAAAAGACTCACTCCGCCAGAAACACCAAAGTCTCAATTGGAGAACCAAGTCCCTCTCAGCAACTACGCCACAACGCATTGGCACACACACATGCTTGCGACGAATGGCACTTTAGTGGAAGTACAGAATGCCCATAAAGAAGAGCCTGATGCTTATAGTGAATTTATTTCGGCGCTATGCCAGCTTCTGTCTCGGCCGTCAGCTGTATCAGCTTGGATCCAGAGTTGCTATGCGTTCCACTGGGAGCCTCCATATCTGTCCTTGATGGAATGGGCGGCGCAATCCGATTTACCTGGTTTTCCATGGCGCCAGTATTCGCCTCAAATCGATGATGTTATCCCCAATGTTCGAGAACTAGCTCAATATCTGAACTGGATCATCGCCGATTGGAGCGTTCACTTACACGAAGATTCAAGTTGCATATATGACGAGGCCGCAGCTTTCATAAAGTCTGAGTATGCGACTAAGCCGTCGGATATAGCTGTAAAGAGGCTTGTATCGGCTACTCCAGCATCCAATGTTTCTAGTGAACCGCTTCATAAAATTTCCAAGATGATGCCTGATGGCAGGCAAGATTATGTACTGAGCATCTATCCACCAATGTAAGTATTCCAAAACTGGCATCCTCAACCCGGCGATACAAACTAATGCTCCGCAGTACATATCTAAAATGGAGCCGGAATCTTGATTGGGATTCTGATTTTTCTGAAATCGAGCAGCATTCACTGAGCTGGGTCGCACGGCTCGAGATTTTCGATATCGACAGAAGCTACGACAATGCCACTGCATGCTTCGAGATGGACATCGATACTAATGAAGTTCTTTTGCAACTAACTCAATCACTGATGTGCTCCTCGTCAGGTGCCGTCCTACAGTTTCCCATTTCTCTTAGTAGTGACGGTCAGGCGTTTACCGTATTGAGGACAGTCTATCGTCTCAGAAAGACCCCTAACGAGCTCGGCGTTGCCTCACATGTACTGGCTTTCAACGCATCTCATCCATTTTGGCAGCCAAGAATATCATCGGGGTGGAAGGCTCATGCCAACAATTTATACCTTTACTGGATTTATTTTGACGACCAAGGGCAGTACCTCTGCTTGGTGGAGCAGTTTCTCAATCATGACTTGACTGTCTGGGCATTCGGGTACAATCGAATACAAAGTATTGATACGTCCCCCCAATTTATTTCTCAAGTATCGATCCCATTAGAGAGAGGCTTTGTCGAACACTACCCAGGCAGAAACCGCAGGGAATTCGAGTTGGCGTATCACCCATTGGGGGGCGCAATAGTCGTGGCCGGATGCAACAAATCAGCTTTCCTCTGGAACTTTGAGAGCCGTCGAACGCTTTATCCGCTAAATGGTGGCTCGGGCGGAAAGTTGGAGATGTTATCTTTTACTTCAGACGGAAAGTCGGTTGTATGGAGAAGGAGCGGCGAGTTGCCATTCGCCATTAGCGTAGAATCAATGCTACCGTCAAAGCCTCCAACAGTGGACCTGCTTGATCGACCTCTCGATCAGACATCGAATGAGGAAGAGAATGGCGGCGATGAGTGTAGACTGCTAGAACTCCCCACGCCAGTCTCTTCACAGGTTGCCACATTTGGTGCAGGTGCCGGCGCCATTCGCCCGTATGGCAGTGGTACTCTCACACATGAGCCCGGCCAAAGCGGGAAAGAGGTTCTTTTGATGGTATCTGACAGGCGGGTTGTGGTTTCACAAGTCCCATCATCCGAGAGAAATGACGACGCTGGCATACCTAATGAAAACGACCACGGGAAGCAGCTCGAGCTACAGAACAACCAAAATTTAATACTCACACGCATTCCAAACTGGGGTTTCAAGGCCGCTACTCCCACTGTGATCTTTCCTAGAGAAGATGGCGACCCAGTCCGCATTGTGCTGGACAAAGATTCCACGACTGCTAATCGGGTAAACCCAAGCCAAAGCTTCAGCAGTGCCGGTGGCAATCAATTGTCGCATCAGAATAGCCCCGTGATTATTGAGAGGCAGATCAAGTCAATTCAGAGGCACAATCAATACAGCACACAGACACCTTTGCTCTTGTCCTCACCAGAGCAGCTGGAAGGCAACGACGTCGCACGACTTGATCGAGATGCAGATGCAAACATAGAAGAGGCTGCAGAAAAAGATGGAAACACTTCAAGCACAGACAATACGGCCATCATAATCACACAGCCGATAGCTAAAGTTGATGAAGACACAGCTGTAAGCATGCCGCTGGCGCCCAATCCCATAACATCGACTACGGAGAGTCCTCGCGACAATATCAACCCTACGAAAGAGAAGAAATTTGGGAAGAAGCTTCTTGGAAGCTTGTCCAGGTTTTTGAAAAGAAAGCCAAAGGTGTAACCACAAGTGCTTTTTATACCTAGATAACTTTGCATAAGGTGTCTGGTTTTGACGCAGACAAGCTTGCCCAACCTCAGATCTCAGCAATCAATACACTTTTAGAAGATGGGTGCGCTGCTGCGGCAGATACCATCGATTTACATCTTTTATCAAAGCGTGCGCAGCAAACTTTGTCATGTGGAAGCTAGAACACGCATCTAGTTTTGGCCATTTCTGCATTGCTTGGTTTGCCGCTTTCGCTGATGGGATTGAGTGCAAGGCTCTAGTCTTGAGCTTAGTGTTATAAATAGCCGTAATACTTTCACCATAGAATGCTCCTTAACTAAAGTAGACGTAGAAAGTACTACTCAGTGTATTGGCACAGCTCCCTTTTAATAGCATCTACCAGCAGTGATTTGTAAATGCCTTTTAATGCAATCACTAAGAGAGTAAAAACAATTACCGGATTACCTCGAAAATTTGGCCAGTGATTTTTTTTTTTTTTTTTTTTTTTTACAATCTGACCGTTTCACAATCTGACCGAAACTGCCCCATTATTTGCTAAGAAGAGTAGCCAGCTAACTTGTAGCAGCAAGCATATACAGAGTTTTACTGGCCAGTTTTCGAGGTCATACGGTAGAATAGGTAGTTATGAGCTGATGATTTGTAAAAGGCTAAATGCATTTAGTTGAAATATGATATTATTAGGTGTCTTACTAACTGTGGACTGGTGTGCTGACATGTATTGCATGTGCAACATCACTAATGAGGAGTCCCAAAACCTGATAGAAATAAAATTGATTGTCGCATACAATTGCCGGCAACATCAGGCCGCCAAATTCTCTTCCTACCAGACAAGATTACACTTAAGCTCAGTAATTGTGACATCTAATCCAAATACACTAAAAGACAGTTTTTCTCCTAACTCTTTTACCTCATTACTGCCCACTACTAGTGTACTTAGAAATATGGCTATTGATACTACGTAGAACAGCTATTATGCATATCAAAAAGCTTATATAACAATTGAAGAATTGAATTGTCTATTATTTCGATGCTTTTCTGCAGTATACAACAGAGTCAAGTCCCCATCGGCCTGAAGGGTTACTTGCAGTCTGTCTTGCGGGCGCAGTTTCTAATAATCTATTGAATGAAGGGTTACAGTTTGTTATATAAATTAAATTTATTTTGATAACTGATACTATAATCTTGAAGGCGCTTCAATGATATCTCTTGTCACACACACTTTGTGACATGTAAAGTGCATTGACTGACACCATCAACAGATCGGCTCAATTACAAGCAATACCAAGAAATTTTCTTGTAATAGAAACACTTCCTAATATATCATATCATCAAATCAAATATTTCAAGTTTATTGAAATGGCTATTTAATGAAGTGAATATTCGAAATCCATGGAGAGTAGTATTCAATTAACGCCCGAATGATTAGTTAAACAGGCAAAGACGGGCTCAAAAGTGATTGTCTAATTAAATATCTCGTGGAAGAAATTCTATAAAAACCTCAGTCAGGTCCGGGTTGAATGAAGATGCACAAACTACCGATACAACTTAGCAGCAAAGTTCATTGCTTCGAACAAACTATATTATTCAGAAACACTCGGAATTCCGCATTTCGTTGTCTTTAAAATGGCCAAACTTTCTCTTATCTCGTTTTTGGCAATTGGTCTTGCTTTACAAAAACCAGTTTCGGCGTCCTGGGAGTGGGAGATCTTCACTTCAAGCGATGACTGTGGCGGCGCCTCAACTCTAAACCTTACGGGCAACGGAGAACAGGGCTGCCAAAACGTAGGCTTTGCAGCTCTATCGTTTTTCTTCACTTCCAATGCTGGCGAGGAGCTTGAGATCTTCTTCCTGCAGAACTGCAACACTGCCGAGAGCAGACAGGTATTCGCTGGCAACGGAGCATGTTTTTCCCTGCTTGAGGGTGGCAGCCCTGCCCAATCTTTCGACATTATAGAGGCGACTGGGGCCAAAACGACTTTTAACATCACTGAGAACTATGAAATCGTCCCCAAAGTATCCAAGGATCATGCCGCCTAAGTCTGCTACCACTCAACATCTTGTGGCCGAAGGAATGTAGGGAACTGGACAAGCGGAATAGGGGGGAATTCGATCTTTTACAATAAACACTAGGCCTAGTGAATTCGCTGTATTTTCATTTATTACACTCGTTTAAATAAATCGTAACTAGCTATCAGCAGAATGTTAACATTTATCTATATCTCTGAGGTACCACAGCTTCGCGTAGGATGAGTAAACTAACTTTATAAGCAGTAAAGAAAGCATACGAGCCCATGCTTGGTATACCCCCAACTGTGGAATGTTGAGCAGTAAAAGATTGAACATTATTATTTTTGCGGAAGAAGCTGTGGCGCCGCAGCAAGATTGCTCGGTTAAATGAGTTCTATACAAGTTATACGTAGCAGCAATCGCCCTATTGGATCTACATAGAATCTGCGCCTGTTGAAAGGGCGATTCTATGCTCTCTTGCGCACCATTAGCACAACTTGACAAAGAGAGCTCTAGAGTCAAAAAAACTATTACTAAGCCTATAAAAACTCAGGGACATAGTATAAATGCCTGCCTACTAGGCATTTTAAACACTGAGTCCAATGACTGACTTCAATCCCATATATATAGCCTTAATTTGCGTCCATCTATAGCGGGCATTAGCGTGGACTAATCACACAATCCACACCAACTTTGACAACATCTCACTGGCGCTCTTCATAGCGCTCCACTAATCTCTCGCCTCAGTGAAGTTTGCCTCAAGTTTACTCTTCACTCATCGCAAATTCTTACAAGCATCAAACAAAAAGCAAAGACGAATATGTCAAAACACGCTCCTCCTCCCGGTGCCAAAAGCATCAACGAAATCCTTGACGAAGCCCGTTCCCATCTCACCCGCATTGACCCCGCTCAACTTCTTACAGAGCTACAAACTCCCGCCTCTCACGGCCCAACTCATGTTATAGACATTCGGCCTGCTGCTCAACGCGAGCGAGAAGGTGCATTTGCGTTCCCCAGCACACTCGATACATCTGCTACAAAACACACAGTCAGCATCATCGAGCGCAACGTGCTGGAGTGGCGCCTGGACCCGCAAAACGATTCCCGGATCAAGGAGCTTGTGGATGAGTTTGGCTACGATACGCGAGTAGTCATTACATGCTCAGAGGGCTATACCAGTTCTCTGGCGGCCAGGGAGCTACAGAAGCTGGGCTTATCCAGAGCGACAGATTTAAATGGCGGTTATTGGGCGTGGAAGCGGCATTTGGAGGGTCAAGCGAGCAATTGAGCTTTCTACAGGGATGTGTTTAAGCGGCGAAAGGATGGAGATATTGCTTTTCTCAAGAATTGGAAGTTTGTAACAATTGATCACTATCGGCAGTTCTATTTCACTAGATAATACTTAGACGTGGTTCATTATTGTTGAAGTGAAAACAAATTAAACAGGCATCTTTCGAAGTGTTTTCCTTCAAACAAGCTCGTTAGGATCATGCCTATAAAAATTCAAGGAGCAATAGAGAGATGTTTTATACTATGTCTAAACATATATTCTGCCTATTCCGCCGCTTGCTCGAATGCAGCATATCGAGATCTACAACTAGAACAGTCACTAGATCGCCAGCTATCCCCAAAAACACTAGGGCTCAGAACAGTATTTATGTGTATGACAAAACATAGTGTCTATTTCTGGTAGTAGTTTGTTTCTTTTAATAGATCAGTCTCATCTTCTTGAAAGACCCACGCATAGTCTTTCAAAGATTTTTCTGCCACTTGCTCTCTTTCAATCCTCATCGGAGGCTATTCGCACAGACTTGGCGATGTACGATGCACGATGCGATCACAATCATGACTGAGTCTCATTAAACTTTATAATGAAAGGAAACACGGATTCCTATACGACTTTTGATACAGCTTCAATAAAGGTGAGCGCGTAGAGGTATTCCTTCTAATTATGGCCTCCCTGTCGACAGTCATAAGAATTGGGAGTCACTGAGAATCAAAATGCCGAATACCAGCGTTCAAATTGCCGATTTTGGTGGGATGGAGTCTTGGGCCGATACGATAGTTATAGCGATGGAAGCAGTCTTCAAGTTGCTTGCCAATTTTCCAATGCGCTTGGTTAGAATTATTATCTGGCACAATTTGGCACATTACAGATGGGCTCCGTCTACCCCTACCAAGATTCTGTCACGTAGATCTCTGTCACTAGAAGGGGCAAAGGCCGTCGTCTTATATAAACAGTTATACAATATATATTTTCTTATGTTTAGAGGCTCAACCGTTGTCGCCCGCTTTTATAGAGTTATCTGCCAATCACAGCAATGGAGAATTAGAATGAAAATCAACATTTTTCAATGATCTCATTGATTGTTTTTGACTTGAGCAAATGCCATATCAAATTGACTAATACTCTCAAAAACCCGTCGCTTAGATGCGCGCTTGACAGCATATCACGATATTCCTGGCATCTCGCAGTGCTTGGATTGAGCTACCCGTATCTCTTCAATTTCTGTTACGTACAAAATCCCAAAAGCCACCGCGGCTGGGCTAGATCCACGAAACCCAGCCCAGCCCCACTTACTCGGCTACGCTCCCGAATATCCTATCGTGGGTAGACCAAAATCCGTGGCTGCAGCATCAGGATATCAGAATTCGATGTCCATTTCTCCGTATGTCCGCACTCAAGATTCAGGGTAGCAGTAGCCTTATCCTACTAAACAGCGAATAAGCCTTGAAGGTTGACTCAGCACGCGAGCAAATAGCCCAGAGGATATTGTCGGGTCTCGCGTAATCCTTGATGTCGTATCCCACGGATATCTCGCGTAAAAGAAGGGCTGCCACACTTACAGATGCAGCATGATTGTGGCTACTGTTGCTAAGATACCTACTTGATGATATTTGGATTTGAAGATTTGTTTTGCAAGGGCGTAAGCCCTCCGCTTTCGGCCCTGTCAGAGCGTGTAAACGCCACGCTGTCCATGTGCCGTGTCTTTGATACAAGGTACAGCTAGTGTAGTCACGGCAAATATCACAACAAAACTACAGGCATGTTTGAGGCCCATGTCTGAACAGAAAGAAAGATTTTTGTTTATTTAAAATTGCCTCTTAATAGTATAATAAAGTTTATTTTTCGCGTAAAATCGTTGTGTTGCATTGGTGTGTTGCCTTGGTCATATATAAGAAAGGCGAATGCATACATGGTGGATGGGGGTATAACTATGTGAATCCTCCAGGATCTGCACTCAATGCATGCAGTTTTATATATACACCTTTTATAAATAAACATACACCCTCTTTCTGTTCAACTGGATCGAGATTTTTCAAGTGGACCTGTACTACGTCGTCCTCTCTTACACCGATGTTTCCCGGAGACACAGGGATGATAGTCAATACAGCCTCCACAGAAACACGACAAAGGTCTGACTTGAGCTTGCTGAGATGATGGATATGGCCTCCTCTCACCCGAAGCTAAGGCTAGTGTTGGCTGTATATCCCAGATTACCCCAGATGAAGCTGGGGAAAATTGGAAGAGCAACAAGACTCCTTTCTGGAGATATTCTGCCTCTGGTATCGAGATTTAAAAACTGAAGATGCTCAGTATCAAGTTCATTCTAGATCTATTCAGTTATTATTTCTACTTGAGTTTATGTCAAGGAAAATGACGTTTACAATTACCGAATCCCAAGGCGTGGACATGACTCCTGCCAAAAAAGACAAACCAAATCATGACGATGCCATCTCACGACATGTATCCAACAACCTACCAGGAGAGTTTGAAGGCGTAAGAAAAGCCTACGACGAAGAAACACAACGTGCTATTGAAGGAGATGCTCACTTCCATCGTCTCAGCTGGGGGCGCCTAACCGTGGTTCTCATTGTAGAGGCCATTGCTCTAGGGAGTCTCAGTTTACCAGCTGCCTTTGCAACACTGGGTATGGTGGCAGGTGTGATACTGTGCATTGGTGTTGGTCTAGTAGCCATGTATGCGAGCTACATTCTCGGAGAGGTCAAGCTGCGATATCCCGAGGTTGCCCATTACGCAGACATTGGGCGGCTGATGATGGGAGGCTTTGGATCGAAGCTTTTCAGCATCATTTTCGCTTCGCAGCTGATTCTTATTACGGGATCGCATTGTCTGACTGGCACGATTGCTTTTGAAACCATCACTGGAAGCGGAATCTGCTCTCTCGCCTTTGGGGTCGTGTCTGCGATTATACTTTTCTTGCTGGCCATCCCGCCGTCGTTTACCGAGGCAGCCATCTTGGGATATATAGATTTCGCTTCCATCATCATAGCAATTGGTATTACCATGATTGCTACTGGAATTCAGAGCTCGAACCAGCCTGGTGGCTTGGAAGCTTCTACTTGGTCAGCTTGGCCTCAAGAGGATTTGACATTCTCGGAAGCCATTGTTGCTGTCAACAGTATTGTTTTTGCATATGCTTTTGCTGGAGCTCAGCCATCTTTCATGGACGAAATGCACACGCCCAAAGATTACATAAAGTCTATTTGGAGCCTTGGAATCATCGAAGTTGTCATCTACACTATTACAGGCGCTCTCATCTATGCGTTTGTGGGCCAAGACGTCCAGTCGCCTGCCTTATTATCGGGTGGATCAGTCATTTCTCGAATCACTTTTGGTATTGCACTTCCTGTCATTTTCATCTCCGGCTCAATCAACACCACTGTTGTGGCTCGCTTCATTCATGGAAGAATATACAGGAACTCTATTGCCCGTTATGTGAATACCGCCAAAGGCTGGATATCCTGGCTGGCAGTGGTTGGAGCTGTCACGCTGATTGCATGGATCATTGCTGAAGCCATCCCCTTCTTCTCTGAGCTTTTGTCTATTAGTTCGTCCCTTTTTGTGTCTGGGCTTTCGTTCTATCTACCACCAGTCATGTGGTTTGTCTTACTGAAAGAGGGCAAATGGTACGAGCGACATAATTGGAAAAGCGCCTTTTTCAATGGTGGTGTGTTCATAATCGGAATGATTATCCTCGTTTGTGGCACTTATGCAAGCATTGTGGAGCTGGTAAGCTTCTTATTTCCTTCTTGACCTAATATCGGACGACTAACACCTGCTGCTTTTAGATTCAGAAATTCCAGAAACACACAGTCAACAGACCTTTTACATGCCAGTCACTTGTTTAACCTCGACTCGTAATCTGGTAAACTAGCGTACTTTCTGACTTGGTTGAAAATACTACTTTTACACTTCAAGAGTTTAAAGCAACACACCTGGACAGCTGGGCGTGGAAGATTAGATAGTTAATCTCCTAATTCGTTTTGATAAAAAGCTCTGTTTCGCGCTAGTTGTAGTAATTCGTATGCGTTCAATTGAATAAAATATTGCATGAGTGTCACTTAATTACCCTATCTAATACTAGCACTACATTCTAATCTCTATCACAAGCGATGATCAATTGCTATACATGATGTTTGTTTATAAATGAATCAATCTTTTTGCCCTTTTTGTACACATCCCTTAGACACTTTCAGCTGCATCGTACACCTTCTTGCCTTTGTACCAAGTTTCCTGGACTCGAGCATGGAGCAGCGATTCCGCAGTCCATTCCATCTCCGCCACTGCAAAGTTTGCCTGCAACCCCTTTGCTAAACTTCCCGTCCAGCCCTCAGAAAAACAAGCGTATGCGCTTCCACGAGTAGCTCCTTGCATTGCCTGGCATAGAGAAAGAGCAAACTCCGGGTTCATCACCACAGTATAATCCTGGTCACGCACAGATCGTCGAGTAGTCGCCGTGTAAAGGTTGCGGAGCACATCCCACGGCGCAGTGGGAGAATCTGATCCAATAGAAATATTAGCTCCAGAGGCAGCAAAATCCCCGTATGCAAACGCCCGTCCGCAGCGTTTTGTGCCCAGGAGTTCCGGCCAGGCCTTGAGCAGCACCGGATCAGCGTGGGCAGGCTGGATAGACGCCGTAATGCCGGCGGCAGCAAGACGAGCTCCGTCGCCAGGACTAGTTAGCTCGAGATGCTCGATGCGATGGCGGCGGCCCGGGGTGCCATTATCGGACAGCGCATCAATGGCCAGCTTGGCGGCGGCATCGCCAATGGCATGCAGGGCACACTGCAGGCCGGCTCGATCTGCTTTGCGTACAACTGCCCCGAGAGCCTCGCCGTTCCATATGGGAGCTGTCGATAAGCCAGTGGTGGAGTACGGCTCGACTAGAGCTGCGGTGCACGAGTCAACAACCCCGTCGCACATGATCTTGATGCCCACGATGCGGAAGTCTGGCGATGTTTCGGAGTTGAACTGTCGACTCA